TCTTGTTTGAGACCTCCATCACGGTTAATCTGTTTTGTTCTCGTTAAGTGCATGAAAGGGTCTTACCATGGACATGCAAGTCTGCGTTGTTGTTTCGATTTTATGTTTTGGTATGAATGCGATTATTCATAATCAATTTGTGGCATATTTAAAAAAACATTTTATTATCAAACTGGTATTGCAGCAGGTTAATGCCAAAGTGTATCATGGTTTTTAATCTATGATTTGTTCACATTTTCACTTTGGTTGTTTGATTCTTGCAACGAATCACAAAGTTGTGTCGCGGTGATAAAAAATATAATGTCACACGAGCAACAGAAATTTAAATATTATTTATTTCTTACGTTCTTATGTTCTTTTGCTGTCGTTGAATAAATTAAATATTTGTAAGTTGCGCATTTAAAGAATAATGATAATTTATTTGTAAACAAAAGTAGACTTTGGAGACCAATAACAGTCCTAAAAATGTTTTGTGAGTTAAGAATAAAGACTGCGACGATGTGTAAAATGTGTAGGCGTACGAACGTTCTCGTGAAAATACTTTCGTACGCCGGAGTATGTCATGCAAAGCATAACTCCTCCAGGACCAAGTTTTGCTGCGTGTTGACCACCACGTTGTTCACAATTACCTGGAGGAAGGGGCAATTGAGGCTGGCTATGGCTGATACTTGAGTACCAGCAGTGCTAAGTGAAATACGCTGTGAAACCTCATCTTGGAGAAGTTACGCGTTATCTGACGTACTACGGCGTACGAACATACCTGGATGCCTATGCGGTATCATATAGAGAGTACTGACCGGTAAAACTTCGTTCTCCGTAATGAGTTTCATAGTGGCTCTAACGAATAAAAGGTGTTGCGGCATGCACCTGATGTTTAAATATTATTGAGCCGCAGTCTGTTTAAATAGTCCTTATCCATCGACTAGGAGCAAAGGCCATCAAATTTGGCCTTGGAAGAATTATACGGTTCGTGAATTAGATACACATTTACAGTCCCAATCCCACTGATTGTAGTTTGCTTCGTTATAGCCTCGCTTAAGGCTAATGCTTACCTGGAAAATCTTCAATCAGTATCAGCAAACAGTAAATGTGGTGATAAAGAACGAATGCATCACTCATAGCTTTTTCCATTATTTTACGAATGAACCAAAATTTTCTGCTCATTGAATTGATAAAGGTTTAATAAAGCCGTTTCAGGTTACGAAAATTCGACCTGTCTAAATTTTCTGATTTCCAGCCGTTGTTTCTAAGGTGTTCGAATTTTCTCCCGATGATCTTCAGCTTCTTTGAAAAATAGCACGTAACCGAAGATCTGAATGTTCTTTCATCTCGTTTTCATATTCGTTCCCAATTGACAAATATTATTGACTTCCTTAGCCCCCCCTCAACCATTATTGATCCTTTATCGTTAATATGTGTGTTCCGGCAAGAACAAGGCTTGGCTGTTTCCTTGCTTGTGATTAAACCAATCCACTATTACTTGATCCATTGTGATTGAACCAATCCAGTCTACAATCCACCATCCAATCAACTAGTATACCAATCCAGTATTGCTGATATACGCTTTGATATATTAATTAGGTACGTCAGCTGTAACGCGTGCTCCTTCCTGACCCGGTCTACGACTGATTTTCAGTATGGTTCACAACCAGCGCTGTTAGAGGCAATTTCGAACCCTGACTTTCGAGAGGCCCTTGAAGATGAAAATGGTCAGCACAGCTTACCTGCGTAAGTGTTGATAATGGTTATCACCGTTCAAACGATGGCGCTTATATCTTAGAGTATTTATGGGGCAAATATCACATGGGAAGTTAAAATCTCTTAACCGTTTGAGTAAAATTTTAATCAACACAAATCAGTGATAACAGTAACAGACAACTCTGACATTTATTTTACATCGCTTCTTCAAAACCATCCCTTAAATGATGGATAGCTTTTACGAAAGATCGAATAAATCGTGCATGTTATGAGCCAACATCCCCAGAACACCAAGCTTAATTGGATAACGACGACTAGCACATATAGCACGATTGAAGCGATTCTGGACGGATTATATTCAGATAATGCACATGGATCCACGTCCAAATACTCGTCATTTCTCCCTGCAATTGGTGGGCTACATTTGAACCCAGGATATCGGCGGTTGTTCTGTAACAGAAAATAGTTTCCCGCGTTAGTTCACTAATGAAGATGGTAAAATTTTAAGTTAATACAATTATTAATCAATGTAAATTTTGATGAGCGTAACGAGTCCATCGAATTTCAACAAAAGATTTTATACAAAACAAGCAGCATAGTGATACATGAGGCGGGGTCTTGTTTAGTCAGTCATTCTGGATGTACGGGCTTAACTGCAAGGTAAATTGAACTTGACTTTAGGTAAAGGCGGTGTCAATGGTTAAAGTAAAGATTTCGTGCCAGTGTGAGGCACGTTTAGCTTTAGTTTCCGGTACTTTCGTCGTGATCCTACCATCTATCATACACTTGGAGACGTTTGCCTAAAAGAACAATGGTAATAGGCAGCACATACCTTGCTTACTGCTGAGCAGAGTAATACTTTGTCTGAAAAACTTAAAAGTAAACACTGGCATCCAGTGATTGTACTTATTCTCAAAGACACATTTTGCAGTACTTGTCATCGGCATTAGAACACTGGTTGGTGTAAAATGGAGGTACATTATTAAACCAAAGTTTGTAAAAGACGAGAGGTGGGAACTAATTATCAGCAAGGCGAATTATAACTGTATCCATGACCACGAATCAGATCCAAAAGTGTTCCGTAAACACTAGATAAAACGACGTTCCTCAAAACTGAATTTACCTCTGTTTAGCATACCGAAGTTAAAGATCGTTACAAACTATGCGCCATTTTCGTACTGATGATCTGTCCAAGCATCTGTACGTTTTTATTTGAATAAGAATCGGTATAAAAACTACTTTTTAAAAAATATGATTAAAATTAATCAGTTAGCGTACTCTAATCTAATATTATAAAGTACTTTACTAATTCACAGCATGGTGTGTAAACAGGTCTTGCCA